ATGAAAACACTGTGTACGCAAATGATTTGCTATGAGCTAGATTGTGCCACAAATCTCATACACTGAGTAGTCCCCTGAATAAGGGTGACAGAATCAGGCCACATTAGTAATACATTTCTACAGCCAGGTAGGAAAATAAAACACCTAAAATGTAACTGATTTAAACTCTGTCAATTGCACACAACAAAATATTAATATCCACAACAAAATCATAAAAACGCATTTTGTAAAATGCATGCTTTGTTTATAAAATACATATAATAAGCACATTCTCTTACAAAATATTGTAACAAGTTGGTTACATTGGAACTATACAGGAATTCTTAGAAATAAAGTTACTTTAAAAACAGATTTAAGATTTAAATCTGGACAGAAGTAGCAGACTATGACAATATTTTGAAGAGGTTCACAAAAAGAAAGGAATAAAAGATGGTGAGGGTTTACTGAATTATTTAATATAGATTATAATAGAAAGTTAGAACTTCTTTGCAAGTAAAAGGACCAGAACTAATACTTACAGAATCTAGAACAATTTGCCAGAGATGTCTATCTTATCTTAAATAGAATATATGTAGGATTCTTTTAAATCAAATTATGCCTTTCTTCTTTATTAAGTACATACGTTCTGCAAAAACCTAAGACACCAAAAAATAATTTACTTTTCCAAGTGCATAAAAATGTGTTGATCTAATCTCTATTTCCTACCACCAGCAATAAAAACTCTATATACAATATATTTTCCTGTAAAACATTATAAAGGGCACCTGAAAAATCCATGCACGAGACTATCAAAAGGTATGTAATATGCAAGTATACACTACGTACACAGTGTGTACAGAATTTCATGGTGAAAGACACTTATTAAGGATTCTTCTGTTCCAAAAACTTGTTAAGTCTGTGACAGAATATTGGCACCACAAGACAAAAGGAACTCTACAAATAAAGCTGATCCAAGATTGAAGCTGTGCATTCGCAAGATGACAGCCATAAGGGGTTAACAGTATGTGCAAAATAGATGGACACGCTCTTTTACTTGGAGAAAAAAGGCAAGGCAACTTTTTCAAATCTGTGCAATATAGACCAGGGTTCTGAGAGTACAGGGGATGGACTACGCTTCAGTTTAGATAGAGCCTATGGAACTAAGTAAGTATATAAAAAAAACTTACTTGGGCCTGTCAGAAGCTGAAGTCTACAACTGAATTAATAGGGCCTTCACACACTTTTATAAATGAATTATCTGGCTTTAGAAACATTGCTACCTGGCCTTGGAGAGCATTTCCTGCGTATGGTCATCACTGCTTTCCCCTGTCACGATTGCTCAGTAGTATGTCACCAGTGATTTTAAGCATTGCTATGGAGCACAGGTATAATAGCGAGTGATTGCTTTTAATAATCATTTATAGTTTTTATTTTTGCCTAATTACCATTAATGCAGTATTATCTATTATGAATACTATGGCAAACAGTTACCTACACCTAACAATAAAGATTTTAATGGCAATCATTGCAATGTTTTTGACTTAGACTTGGGGAAAGGTGGAGGATACTGTCCAAGTCCAGAGTCTAAGCTCAAATACAGTGAGAAAGTGGATCAAGATACTTACCTGGATCGCTCTCTGCAACCAAAATTCGGACTTTTAGCTGAACATACCTCAAGGGCAGCTGTTCCTAAAAACTTAAAAAATACAAAGACTCCAAACCCTTTTCAAGGCCATTTGACTCTTTTGGGTTGATTGCTTACATGTTGTGAAGAAATGAGATTCACTGTGTTTGCAGAAGTCTTCTCCCCTCAACCCAATTTTATGAAAATGTTCTCTACTCTGAGCTATTATACTCCACCTACTAGAAAGTAAAAGGCAGCTCCACCACCCCTCAAAAACATAAATACCTTATCACACACTCACTATATATCCAGGCACTGATATTTGCTGCTTCTAAAAACAGGGACTCTGGATGCTGCCACTTCATCTATAGGCAAATCTCAAGTTAATTCCAAACTTTGATAAATGTACTGTCTGGGTAGAGAGTAAGTCCAGATTTTAAAAAGGTTGTGGGATTTTGATTACAATGGGAGTTGGGTACCTAGGTGGTTTTGAAAATCCTTGTAGGCACCTAATTGCATCTTCAGGCATCTGAATATTTTTTAAAATCTACCCTTTGGTGCTGTTATGTGAACCTTTGAGAACAATGTGCTTCCACTGCAAAGTCACTGGTTAAGAAGCAATATTTTTTTAAACTAGGGAAACATATCTCCAATTGTGTAGTGGGGTTACAATAATTTCAAAGGGTCCCATAACCAGCATAAACTGGAGGGACTGTAGCAGTCAAATTTGAAGAGTAAATGTTGGCTGTGGGTGAAAAATAGGCAACCAAAAGTTGAATGTAAACTGTCTAAAAAGTGCTAGGAAGCAGTAAGCAAGAGATGAAAAGGACCTAAAGCTGAGAAAAACTTGAAGTTAAAGAGACTTCCTCCCTTCGAAACCTCTTACTTCAGAAGTACTACTGATGGTCTGAGCCTTTCCCAGTTCACGTAGGAGGAAACATGAGCATCCCTTTCAGTTGCTGAGAGCTAGAAAGCTAGAAATGAGGAAATAACTAAAGTAATTGTGCACTCCCAGGCTTCTAAATACTTTAGTAACAAAAAGTAACAAATTTAAAACAAACAAATAAAAAGGTATAGTTATTTAAGGAACTAATACTAAAAGGGCATACATTAATTTCCTTAGGAGGCTGTATGAAAGTGGTTAGAACAGGGGGGCAGAGAGTTGATACCTGCTCTATGTCCTACACTGTCACTGATTCACTGTGTGACTGTGGTCAAGTCACTAAATCATCTATAGCTCAGTTTCTCCATCTGAAAAATAAAAATACTACTTACCTACTTTGAAAAAGAATTTTGAGATCCTTAGAAATGAAGTCTGACAGTGCAAAATATTTAGAAGATACCATTTAACAGAATACAACATATTGAAGACTGTAACATCCCAGACTACATATTAGGCTAGGTCTACACTAAAGCTTATATTGGCATAACTTATGTCGCTCAGGTGTGTGAATAAGCCACCGCTCTGAGCGACATAAGTTACACTGACATAAGCGCTGTGTATTCAGCGCCATGTCGGTGGGAGACCTTCTCGCAGAAGTGGTTTTATTATGCTGAGAGGAGAGCTCTCTCTCGTCAGCATAGAGCATCATCACCAGACGTGCTGCATTGCTGTGGTGCTTCTAGTGTGACAAGCCCTTAGTCAAGATAGGCATTTCTCAGGCATGTTGAAGGCACCAAGCTACTCCTCATTTCTCAATACACAAAAGGGAAACAATCCTGCATTCCTTGCATACCCGAATTTATCTTCAATGGGTATGCATGGAATGCAGGCTAGGATCCAAGATTATTGCTTATCACACTTTGGGTCAGATTCTCTCTATTCTGTATTTTGTGTAGTCACACCAGGGCATTTGTTATGATTTAGTAGAATTTTACACTCACTCTGCCCCGATACAAGTGACTACACAAGATGCAGGGCAATGCTCTATTCTCCCCTTCCCTCCCCCTCCCTCCTTTTATTTACATACACACACACACACACACACACACACACACACACACACACACACACA